TTCTCCTGGGGCAGTCTGCCCAGGCAACAGAAATGGGGCAGGAATGGACGAACGGAACCTAACTGGGCTTGCGGACTTCTGCACAGCGAAGGAAACCATGAGTAGGACAAGGGGACAACCTACAGAATGGGAGAAAATTTCTGCAAATGAGACCGACAAGGGCTTAATCTCCAGAGTGTATAGGTAGCTCATACGACTTAATAAGAAAAAAAGAAACAACCCAATCCAACAGTGGGCAAAAGACCTAAGAAGGCAGTTCTCCAGAGATGAAACGCAGGTGATCAATGGGCACATGAAAGAATGCTCTGTGTCACTAATTGTCAGAGGGGCACAGGTCGGAGCTGTGGTGAGGTGTCGCCTCGCACCAGTCGGGGTGGTCATCATTCAGAAGCCTATGGATGACAGGTGCTGGAAAGGCTACAGAGAGAGGGGAACCCTCCTACGCTGCTGGTGAGAGTGTGGTTTGGTGCAGCTGCTGTGGAGAACAGTATGGAGATTCCTCGGGGGACTGGGAATAGACTTACCATATGACCCAGGAATTCAACTCCTGGGCATATATCCAGAAGGAGCCCTACTTCAAAATGACACCTGCACCCTAATGTTCATATCAGCACTATTTACAATAGCCAAGACATGGAAACAGCCTAAATGTCCATCAACAGATGACTGGATAAAGAAGAGGTGGTATATTTATACAATGGAATACTATTCAGCCATAAAAACCGACAACATAATGCCATTTGCAGCAACATGGATGTTCCTGGAGAATCTCATTCTAAGTGAAGTAAGCCAGAAAGAGAAAGAAAAATACCATATGAGATCATTCATATGTGGAATCTAAAACAAAACAAAACAAAACATATATACAAAACAGAAACAGACTCATAGACATGGAATACAAACTTGTGGTTGCCAAGGGGGCCGGGGGTGGGAAGGCACAGACTGGGATTTTAAAATGTAGAATAGGTAAATAAGATTATACTGTATAGCACAGGGAAATATACACAAGACCTTATGGTAGCTCACAGCGAAAAAAATGTGACAATGAATATACATAGGTTCATGCATAACTGAAAAATTGTGCTCTACATTGGAATTTGACACAACATTGTAAAATGACTATAACTCAATAAAAAATGTTTCAAAAAATAAAATAAAATGTACAATTTGTTACATAATATCACAACCACAACTAACAATGGCATCACAATGGCAGCAAAATAAGGTGATCTTGAAATATGAAATCAACTAAGCCATGACCTTGAAATATGAAATCAATTAAGCCATGCAATCCCCCTACCCTAGCCCCTTTAAAGTGTCTTCTATTATTGGTTCAGGAGGGGAAAAGCCCCAAAAATGAAAATTCAGTGGATAAAATCACTGCAAAACACTTCTGCACACATACATGTCCACACTTGCACAAAGCAGAAGGAAATTTTAACTTGACACTCCAACAGGAATTTTATACTTAAATAATCAATTGCAGAATTGGAAGAAAACTATGAATCATAAACTCTTTTTAAAACTTCAAAGACAGAAGAACAAACAACATGAAGATATGAAAAGAGAGCTAGTCAAACTCAGGAGAGACAGGAAATGAACAAGAATTAAACTACAAGTGTCTGTGGTAGGCAGAATTTCTAAAATGGCCAGTGAAGGATGGTCCACTCTAATTCTCAGAACATGTAGAAACAGTGAGTTAGCATTCTTGTTATTATGGGACGTTTTGTGGCACCATGACTTAGTCATCCTGGATTATCCACATATGCCCATAAAGGCATAGAGCTTTCTCCAGCTGGTGGCAGAAGAGGAAGTCAGAGACATGTGGAGCATAAAAAGGATTCAACATGTCATCACTGGCTTAAGGATGGAGGAAGACACTTGCCAAAGAATGTGAGCAGCTTTTAGGAGCTTAGAGTGACCCCTGACTGACAACCAGCCAAAAAAAAAAAGTGAGGGGGAACCTTAGTCTTATAACAACAAGAATCTGAATTTGGCCAACTACTGAAATGAGCTTGCAAGTGGATTCTTTCCCAGATCCTCCAGTTAAGAGCCCATCCCAGACAAACTTGACTTTGGACTTATGAGACCAAACTGAGCATGCTTTGTATTTTGACTTGCAGAACTATGAAGGAAAAAAAAGGTGTTATTTTAAACCACTAAGTTTATGGCAATTTGTTATGGCAACAATACAAAACTCATAGAGTTCCCAAGGGAGAAGAGGTATAAACATAATTAGCACAGGGTCATAAAGGATAGAACAGGAAAGAGACAATAAAATAAAATAATATAAAAAGCTTTAGAAAGAACATGATAGAAAAGGCAGAAGAGATTATCCAACATACTTATAACAGAAATCCATAAAGAGAAAAAAAGCATATCAAAGGAAGAGAAGAAATATTTTAAGACAATAATTCAAAAAAACTTTGCTGAAATAAAAGCTCTGAATTTACATATTATAAAGACCCATGATGTACCCAGGAACACCGACAAAGTATGGTCAATTCCACGAAATAGCTCAGTAAAACGATTACACTTTAAAAATAAAGAAAATGTCCTCTGAACCTTCAGAGAAAAAGGCCAAGCTGCTTACATAAAGAAAACACAAAGCACAACAATAGCAGAGCACCAAATTCAAGAATCTAAAGGAAAGGACAGTATGAGCCAAGAAGAAACAGTATCTCAGAAAATACTATACATACAAATAAGAGAATGAGAATTTTACAGAAAAGGTGAAGAAACATTTGCAGAAATTTTGGTAGTAAGCATACTTAATAGAAAATCTGGAACTAAAATAATGGCAGTATTAAGGTTGGAGGAATGATGCATTAATGGTGTTTGTTCTGCTAAAGCAGAAATAACATGACTAAAAAGTGCAAAGAGAAGGAAGAAAGGAACACAGAGTAAAATGATTCATTAGCACATAGGTGGGAATTAAAATATTCTTTAGAGTTGACATTATAGTACAAACCTAAGAAAAAAGAGGACTGAATAATTACATAACGGTATTAGGATAAAGATAACTTATGAAAACCAAAAAAAAAAAAGACAAAATACCAAATAGAATGGCAGAGCTGTAGGATCTCTTTTTATTAAGGACATTAGAACTTTTTGAAGTATACTGCCAATATTTTCCCCCAGTTTGTTATTTACCATTTAATTTTATTTTGTTTACCATGCAGGCTGTTTTTTTATTCTTTTGTAGTAACTGTATCAATCTTCCATTTTATACTTTCTGGATTTTGTTTCTTTTAGAAAGACCTCCTCCACTCTGCAATTATATAGATTTTTAAAATTCTCCAATATTTTCTTCTAGTAGTTTTACAGTGTCATCATTGATTCATTTACTTTTACAGAATTGGTAAGAAAGACAAAGGTACATATTTTTTCAAACAGATTCATTTTTTTGCCAATATCACTGAGTGAAAACAAACTTTTCTCTGCTGACATGTGATGCCACTCTTATTGTATAACAAACTTCTGTGTTTGGGGAATTGTCTCTTAGATCAACTGTTCAATGCACCAGGAAGATATTGTTTAATATTATATAGGTAAGGCAGTCTCTTAACATTACTTATTAGTTACAATAACTTCTTCACTGTCCTTGGTGCTTATTTTTCTGTAAACTTTAGAACTATATTGACTGATTCTAATGGGCAGCAGCTTCATGAATGATTCGTTTTGCTTCTAAGTAATTTATGCAGTACATTTGTGGAAAAAAACTCCAAAATATACATGTTATCTTGAGATGATATCCTGTTGGGCACCTGCCACTAAATTTCCTATCAATGTTTCCAAATACTCTTTGGCTTTTAGGGGTAGCTTGGTAGGAAAATGGAAAGAGGTCAGGCTTTGGAGTCAGAAACATATTTATACATTGCCTCAACTGTTTACTATTCTGTAACCTTGTTACTGTTAGCCTGTTACTTAAGTTGGTTGAATATCAGTTTCTTCATTTGAAAAGTGAGAATAAAAATGTCTGTGTTGCAAATTTCCTGGAATATTAGATAAACTGTATTTTGAATAATTCTGAAATATGCCTGACTCTTAGTGGGAACTCTCTGGAAATAACTTCAAATATATGTTGACAACTTCATCTATAACTTCAATTTAGAGTTCTCTCCTAACTTCAGAATTGCCATGGCTTGATTCCATTTATTTATCTGGTAAATTTCTATTCATCCTCTAAGAAAGCTCAACTATCACCTCCTTTGGTAATAGTTTTTCTCATGTCTTCATGTTTAGCACCTCCTCTCCTTTATCAATCTGTCCAAAAGTCTATGATTTGTGGTGTTTTCTATTTATCTGATTACTTATTTGCCTCCCCAAGGAAACTGTGAACTCCTCCACAGCAAGTCACTGGTCACTGGTTCTACTGTCTCAATTCTAGCATATTAGTCCCTTATAATCATCCTGACAAGTATCTGTTGATTGAACATAATTTTTATGAGGAGGGGAGCACCTATTTTGTATTTTTCTATTATTTGTTCTTCGTTTTACAAAAGCAAAAGGATAAAAAAGACAGTACTGTATCAGCCTCTTAAAAAATAATCTTTGTCATTATTTTGTAAAACTGCATGGATGTCCGGCCCAACTCACCAATAGGAAAGCACAGGCAGGAGAACAAAAAGCGCAGACCGCTTGACGGTGCCCCGCCCCGCCCAGGGGCGGAAGAGGCAGGCTGAGGGTGCACGCAGGCGCACAGAAGGCTCTGTGACGGGCCACACTGACTTCCGGCCTATCCCGGGGCAACGGCGAGGCTGGGCCTAGCACAGAGGCCGCAGCCCTTACAGACACAGGTATTTTCACAAACTCACAATATTTTTGTGTACTGCTTCACTAGAGGCGGGGTTTCTTGGTGCCCATATTGAAGTTAGGCTTGTGGCTTCCCTGTGGAGTCAGGACGTTTTGCGAACTATACTTTGATGTTAAAGACACGACTTTCATCCCACTTCATCAATTAGTTTTCTCTTCTTTTACGGTCCGTATTTTACACCATAATGCAACAGGCTTTAGAACAAGCTTTGGAGAGGGCTGAGTATGTCATTGAAAGTGCCCAACAGAGACCCCCTAAAAGGAAACACTCATCTAGTGGGCAAACGTCTCTCTATGAAAAACTTTATGACATTTACGTTGAAGAATGTGAAAAAGAGCCTGACACTCCGGAGGAATTACGAAGCAACGTGAACTTGTTAGAGAAGCTTGTTCAGAGAGAGTCGTTGCCGTGTTTGGTGGTCAACCTGTACCCAGGAAAGGAGGGCTATTCCCTGATGCTCAAGGGAAAAAATATTTCAGAGAACATTCGGCTGCCTTATGAGAAAGGGGAACTGCTCGAATACTTGGATGCAGAAGAATTATCCCCTGTTTTGGTGGATCTGCTGGGAAAGTCTCAGGTTAACGTTTTTCATGATGGGTGTGTCATAGCTGAAATCCGGGACTACAGGCAGTCCAGTAACAGGGAACCTCCCGGTTACCAAAGCAGGCATATTCTCTTACGTCCTACGATGCAGACTTTAGCCTGTGATGTAGAGGCCATAGCCAGCGATAACCAGAAATGGACCCAAGAGGACAAACTTTTGCTTGAGAGCCAGCTGATCTTAGCCACAGCTGAACCACTGTGTCTAGACCCTTCCATATCAGTAGCCTGCACTGCCAACAGAATGCTCTATAACAAGCAAAAGCTGAACACTCTCCCCATGAAAAGGAACTTCAAGAGGTTTTCTTTGGCCTCTCTGAATCAGGAGCAAGAGCTTTCCCAGTGTCCACCTCCTCATGAGCTAGGAGTATTGGCTTCTTGCAAAAAAATAAGAGAAACTAAAACAGGTGAACATCATGACCTCAAAATTTTTAAAGCAGGGAACTGTGCAGATATGTGGAAACAAATACCCTGTGACTTGGCTGTACCTTCTGAAGTGGATGTAGAGAAATACGCTAAAGGGAAGAATTCTGTCACATATGATGAATCACAACCAACAGTCTGGCCAACCCATGAGGTACAAGATGGTTCTGTATTTGGATGTGAAGATGGCGATCAGTCTCAGACAACAATGCTCCCTTTCATGCAGTCACTTAATGATCCACTTATCTCTGGAAAAAGAAGGTCATGTAAAAAAGTCAGACATACAAGACAACTGTCTCACCCCTATTCCTCCAGAGATGACCATTATAGTTTCATGCCCAGGCCAAAGACTGATGTCGGTAAAGTGGTCAGTTGGTCTGAGAAAATGGTCCAGGACAGCATCCAATGTCCAGTCCAGATGTCAACCAGCTCCAGTGGCTCAGCCAGTCTCAGGCAACCTTCTCCAGGGAAAGAACCAGAACAGCCTAAGACTGGGTATGTTCAGTCTTCAGTGCTAGGCAAGGGAGCCAAACATCCACCTCCACCTACAAGACTTCCCTCAAGGTCAGCCAGGAGTTCCTCAGGTGACAGTTTTACTTCACAGCAGGCAAGCAGCTCTCATGCACCTCCATCTCCTGCCCCTGCTCCTAAGACACCAAGTCTTTCCAACAAATCCTCTGTGGAGGTGAATCCAGCTAGCACGCCTCCTGCCACAGCCACGTCCAAGTCCACTGCAGGTTCACCACAAAGGACACAGGTTTCGGGCAAATCCTCTGGCCTGAATGTCACCAAAGTGGCACGCCCTACATGCAGAGGCCAGGCCTTGAGGAGAGGCTCCAAGCCTGTGCAGGACTCCACCAGGGGGGCCACAGCTCCTGTAAGAATCCAGTCCAGCCACCAGCCCACAGGAGCTTGGCCGCCAAATGCACCACCCATGGCACCACAGGCTCCTTCTCAAGGAGGTGTTCAATTTATTTTTAAAAATGCTTCCAGTGTCCAGCCCTTAGGTCTACTCCAGCTACCACCAGGTTCTCTCATTTTGAACACCCAGCAGCAGGCCCCACAGCAGCCATTGCTCTACCAGCTGATTCCACAGCAACAACTTCAACAACCCACCACTCTGCATCCTCAACAGCCAGTGCCACAGGCCACTGTACAAGGTCCTGTCACCCAGAGTATGGCCTTACCTACTCAACAAGCCATGCTCCTTAACCTCAACAGAGTGGAGAGTTTTCTGCAGCCCCAGGCAGTTATGCCGCCTCAGCTGGGCTCTGTCCAGAGCCAACCTGGGCCCAGCCTCCCTCAGCAGAGATTCCAGCTCTTCTCTGCCTTGCAGCTGCAGCCACAGCCACAGCCACAGCCGCAGCCGCAGCCGCAGCCGCAGCCGCAGCCGCAGCCGCAGCCACAGCCACAGCCGCAGCCACAACCAATACAGTTCGGAATCTTGCGGTGTCCAGTGGCTGTGACCACAGTAGCAGCCCAAATGGCTCAGCCACATCCACCAAGTGAGCACACAGCAAGCCAGTCAAAAGGTAAAATGTCCTGAGGCTTGCATTACTTTTTAATCTTAAAAAAAAAAACCAACAATGCAAGAGCATTGGATTAAAGGGGTTCTGAGTTTTTACTTCATTTTTGTCTTTCATTTCTCAGTATTTTACATTGTGAGGCATACCAAATATACAAAAGTACAACCCTATGCATTTTTAAAAAAACAGGGAAATGATTTAATGAAAGAAAAAAAAGAATGGACTATGGCACTAGCCACCATGAGGTCAAAATCCCCACTTGGCAACTGAGTAACCTTAAGTCTATTTCCTAACTTCTCTGAATCTCCATTTCCTTGTTTATAAAATGTAAACACTTATATCTACTTCTTAAGTTTATTGTCAAGGTTAATGTAAGTAAAATGTATTAAATACTGAAATTCAAATTAATTTTAATTAATAAAATATTAAATATTTGAAAGAAATAAGCATAAGTACTTAAGCTAAAAATAACCTATAGTAATATTAGTGTAAATGATAGTTCTGTTACATTACATAGAAGTCAATTGCAGATAATAGGTTTTCAAAATATATGTAATTAAATACATATTATTATTATATATTCCTTAGGTTTGCAAATTATACATCTATATATTATTATTATAATATGTATATTCCTTAGATTACTTATATTTACATATTCTGTACTCTTTATATTTCTATATTCCTTAGGTTTTTAAATTATACATATATATTATATGTGTGTTCCTTACATTCCCTCTATTTACATATCCCTTAGGTTTTCAAATCCCACAGATATAATTAAATATATATTATTATATATTCCTTAGGTTTTCAAATTGTAGAAATAGATATAGATAGACATAGATAGACAAATTTTAATCCTCTCTTAGTAAACAGTAGCCCTTTTACTCTTAGTAGATGCACCACATGGTGAATTCTTTCTCTTTGTGATAAAACTGGATACGTTAGGCACTTGTAATTTGTTCTTCAGTAATTGAGGGATGATTTGGATATATGACTCAATATCATTTGCCAGATAATATTCTTCAAATGCATTATTCATGTGGTGCTTATTATTTTGCAAACACTTCATAACATACAAATGCCCCTGCTGTCTACCATTCATCTTGCTCCTTTAGTCTGTCTCAATTATTTTGTCCCCATCAGACAAGATAATAATCACGAGAGAGAGAAAAGGTAAAAGTTTCTTGACTTAAAATGGACAAGTGAATGAAAAATGGTAAGTTTAGATGAACTGATGAAACAAATGACAACAGGCAATTATAGGAAAAGGAATGAATAACTGTGATACTAAGGTATCTTTAAGTATACCTGCTAATTACAAATGCTTTCTGCGGCTCCTAAACAATATATTTTAGAGTAATAATATAAAGTAAGAAATTAAATAGCTAGTACAAATGCCCTCCTCCCCCAAATACTTGAGTAAATTCATACATGTGGATAATACTTTCAAAATATTTTATATGTAAAAAAAAAATTTATATGAGTCAAAAAAGTCATCTTCCCAGTTTTCTGGAATTGAAGGTTGCTTGAAAAGAATGAGATACTGAAAAATACCAGAAAAATACATTTGTTAAATAGTTATTTTCGTTGAAAGATTTTATTTTATTGCACTGATATTTGCTCCTTGAGGCATCCCCTTGGATGACTGGTAAACATCTTTCACTTAACATGCCCAAATATGATGGCATTCATCTTTTCCCCAAGCCTATCAGAACCTTTACTATTTGATGTTAGAATAATTCACAAAGTAACTGAATTAATTATCAAGTAATTTTAAATAATTAAAAAAATAGAAAATCTCTTTACATACCCTTATCATCCCTGACTACTTCTGTTCTAACTTGTGAACTTTGAGGGATTCTTAGAGAAATTCTCAGGCTTCTAAACAGCTGAACCACTACCCAACTTAAGGAAATACTATGGAAAATCTGTAGACAGAATGGGTCCAGAAACTAGCAAATGGATTCATGATAAAATATTTTCATCTGTGACATTTCTGACCATGTCACACTCCTTTGCTTAATATCCTTCCCTGCATCTGCATACTCTGTGAAATCAAATTCAAACTATTTCACTTGACTATATGGGGTTGTTTTTAACCAGGATTTGGTCTGTCTCTCTTCCCCGTTTCCTATCACTTCCCCATTCACATCTGTGGCTCTGGCAGTACTTAATTATTGGTGTTCCCGATGTGCCATATTCGTCTTCACTTCCCTGTGTTGGTGGAGACCCTCAAGCAAGAACTCCTTGCCATTCTCTGCATATAGCTTAGTACTCAGCCTAAGAACTACCCCTCTGGATACAGTCTATTTGTATATCATCCTTCATTACAGCACATTTCAAACTATTTCACAGAGTTATTTGTGAATCAAATATGGTAGTAAAAATTTTAAAAAAAATAAGAATTAAAAACATAAATTAATATAAATGTCCTTTAAATTTATTTTTATGTTTTCACAGATTGTATAACTTTGCATGTATTTATATAGCATTAGTACTTTTATCTGAATGGTTAAAATTTTACTATATATAATTATAAACATACGTAATTTATATTTTCTGTATTGAATGTCATAGTTGTCTTTTTAAAACATCAAAAATACAAAATGGAAACTATTGTAAAAAATAATATATATAAAATAATAGTATTTTATAAGTATTTAAATATAACTTAACTTTAAGCAGAGGTTAAGATAATTTTAAGAAGTAAGAAAATTAAATATGGCTTTTTTGTTTGTTTTCTTGGCTTTGAACCATGGAAATAGTCTTCAATTCATGATTCAGTCATAGGTTATTTTGATTAACATAAAAGTTCTCTTTTACAAAATTCCAAGGCCAAAGGAACAGGAAGACAACAAATCAACAAGATACTCTTTTTTATTTCAAATCACCTCATTTCTTTTGCATTTGTATTTCTTAGAAGTTTTGAATGTGGGGCATATCCCGATGTATGCAAATAAGACAGCATTCTCCTGTCTCTTGTTTCCTTGTTATTGTGCCATGTGGTAACAGTCTGATGGAGTCTTATTAGATTGGAAAGCTATGTTTGGGATGACAGGGGTTGAAAACAGATGTGGTGGGAAAATGGGGAGTTGTTCAGTGAATAGAGTTTCAATTTCACAAGATGAAAAAGTTATAGAAATTTGCTGTACAACAATGTGACTCTACCTAACAGCAATGAACTGTATACTTAAAAATGGTTAAGGTGGTAACTTTTATGTTGTGTGTTTTTTACCACAATTAAAATTTTAAAACAACAATATAACAGTTGTGGCATACAAAATACTTCATTTTCAGGGGCCCTAGGGGAACCTCAGACACCTAAGCGCTCATAGCATGGTGGTAAGAGCACAACCCTCTGGAGCCAGATGGTCTTAATCCCAATACCTGGTCTGCCACTTACTGTGAAACCATGGGTAAGTCACTTGACCTCTCTGTGCCTCAAGTTTTCCATCTGTAAAATGGAGATATTTTATAGGACCTTTTTCACACAGTTGTTACAAGGACTAAAGAAAATAATATTTGTAAGCTGCTTAGACATTCCATAAAGGAAATTATCCAGAATCACTGAAATGGAGCAGTTATTCTCACTAAATTTAGAGGATATGTTTTTATCTAACAATACAGACTATCTGGCATATGTCCAATTACTCTGGTGAGCAACAACTTGGAAGTGGTCCTAATTTTCCAGTGCAAATGAGTGAGATCTACGTTATCATTGACTTATCAAATGATAATGGCATCAGTTTTCTGATGCTCTGGACACAACCAACAAATGGTAATTCTAATATAAGCCCCAAATCAAACATCCCAACAGAAGATCCTCTGAATTGCAAATTAAGTTGCCTCACACATGCCCAACTGCACATAGCCTGTTTCAATATAGGTGACTGAGGACTTCATGTATTTAATGACTGACGATTCCCCTAAGCTAAGAGGGAGAACGCCAGTGAGCATACAGTGTTTCAGAGTGGAAGGGAGCCTATGGGTACAGTTGTAGACACTAATCAAAACCAGCAGTGCCCTGGGGGTAGGGTATATAGCTCAGTGGTAGAGCACGTGCCTACCATGCAGGAGGTCCTGGGTTCAATCCCCAGTACCGTCAATAAATAAACAAACAAACTTCATTACCTTCCCTCCCACATACCCACAAAAACCCAGTAATGCCCAGCCACTCACCTAAAATGCTTAACAGTGACTATGAAGGGATTGCCATACTTTGCATTCATTTATTCACAAATATTTACTAAGCACCTATTACAGGACAGATGTCAAAACCCTAAAGACATAGCAGTAAATGAGACAATGTCCTTCAAAAACTTATAGTCTAGTACATTAAGAATAAATAAATACTAAGTGGAGATAACTCTAGCTTGGCTTTCAAATCAAATCGTATTGATAAAGCACAATTCATGCATTAACCTTTTAATTTTTTAAATTACATTTCAAGACTCTATGGCATCCAGTGATAATTTGAAGAAACATTGCAATTTAGGATTTAAAATGGAAATAGCAAAAGACTTCCAGATGTAGTGTTGACATAATATCACTTTTTTATCACTTGCCCTCATTTTAGCTTAATAAGCTCTCCTGGCTCTCATCTTTCAATGTTTAATCCAAAGCAATTAAACTGATATGCAAATGCCATCTTCATTGCTTTAAAAGTGACACTTAACACAATTTCATTATAATAGACAACTGGAATGCTTGTATAATGATCAGCTCATTTTTATTTTTAAAATATATGCTTTCCTTGCAATGCATGCTTGTAAATAAAATGTCCATATACACAAATTTTACTTGATAAATGCCATGTGGCTAATATTCATCTTGTATACTGAACAGGAAATACATACCATGTGTATTTGTACTTAAAATCTTGTTACTTTTTTGCTCAGTCTCTAAAGAAATGAGTATTTTAGCTAATGAATTATATTGTACAAGATCAGCAGAAAATGAACAAAGAGTGCGTGTGTG